ATCAAACAAACACACCCCAGCTTGTGATTGGACAGTGAAATTGCAGTAGCTAATTCAAATCCTCCTCCTCTTTGCCTTTCCTCTATGCTTGCTCGCAGAAAGCCCTAATTGACTCAGAGTGCTGCCATTCCCCCCTCCCAGCCTGGGGATTATAAGAAACATAGTAGGTGAGGTTGAAGAAAGGTCAAGGTCCATCCAGTTCAGTGTGTGTGTGTGTGTCTGCTACCCACTTCTGGGTCCTGCTCCCCCATGCTACCACCCTCCTCCAATCTCATCTCCATGTTAATGCTCCTCAGGGTGGCCAGTCGCTTCTTTAGATCAAGGATCTGGGCGTCTAAACAAGCCACTCGCTCACATCTCGCACAGCAGTAGTCGCCCTCAAACGGTTGCTCAAGGGATGCAAACATTGCACATGACGTGCACTGTGTTGCATTTTACACCCACGGAGGTCATGATAATGATTCATGGGGATGTCAAGAATTAATATTATTTAATGATCCCTTCAGGTGACGTTCCTAGACAGGTTATTACAGTGAAAACAGTCCCTCGCTTATTACAGATCCACAAGTGTCACCGATTATTACAAATTATCTTGGCAAGGCAGTCCCCAATTCTCACCCATGATTGCAATGAAAGCAGACCCTCCATTATCACAGAATGATTCCAGTAATGTAGATTCACAGGTCCGCTAATATAATGATACATTCAGGTACTCATGTTTGGTGTAAAATAAATGTAATGATTAGTAGATAAAATTTAACTTATACTTTGGGCTGTAAAGTGAGTAAAAGAAAAATAAATCGCATGCACATTCCTGTTTTCTTAGTGCATCCAGAGATCAGAATGGCTCCTACCCAGGCTTTAGATCATCTGTCTCAGAAGGCTTTTGCAGGTAAGTTGATGAGCCCGCGCTATAGCCGTCTGTCCATTCCTATCAGGTGGATGGGGAAGCCTGGATGTATCAAAGAGGATTCTAGAAACAAGTGCAGAATGCAACGTGAAAGGGTTAATATTTAAAGGGACACTCTAGTTCAGTGGTTGTCAACCTGTGTAAGCTCAGGACCCACATTTGTCCTTGGTCATTAAGTCGTGACCCAAGTCGCACGGCATTGCGGTACCGTGCATTTCGGGGCGGGCGATCGAACTGTGGGTGGGAGGTGTGTTTGGGGTGCCATTCAGATGAATGGCAATGCAACACACCTCCCTCACCAGAATGCACGGTAGGTGTGATTGCGTGGTAGAGGTGCTAGGGTTGCCACCTGTCCAGGATTCACTCGGACAGTCCAGGTTTTGAATGTTGTATTCGGGTTTTCCTGGAAGCTGAAACCCGGACGCAAGATGTCAGGCAGATAGGGGCTACTATCTGTGATTTCTAGTTACGCCCCTGGTGGCGCTATTTACATATGAATAAGCCGCGACTCATTCTCCCAAAATAATTTCCTTGGGTCGCTAGAGTGTGTACGGTTTTCGCTGGAAGAAAAGGTGGCAACCCTAAGAGGTGTCGTGAGCCAGAAAGTGACGTCACTCCGGTCCAGGCACCTCCTACAGGGCACATGTGGGAGCTGTAAGCAATGCACATATGGATAGAGCTCCCTTTTGGCCATACCCCCAGCTCACCCCACCTCAAGCTGACACTCGGCACCGGGAAGCACATTTTGAATGGCTGCTTGGTGTGAGAACTGACAGTGCTGCGCTAGAGGGAGGCTGAGGAGCGCTTTGCCTGGAAAAGTTGAAGGCCTGCGGTGACCCACTGAACACGGGGTCGCGACCCAGTTTTGGGTCACAACCCACCAGTTGAGAACCACGGCTTTAGTTAATTATTAAAATGTTGCACTTGAGCTTTTTAAAGAGATCTGAGTAGCTGGCGTGTTGTTTGGATGCTTCATTCTGCTGTTATAAAAGGGTCACTTCAGTTTTGGATAGAACATGTCAAGATGAATCACCCTTTGGCCTTCATATAAGTCCTGGGGACCCCCATCAGTGAGAGTTCTGCAGCTGAGTTCCTAGCTCCGCCAACCTTCAACTGTTATGAGGTAATTTCATGCTCCCTGTTACATGGAGAGTATAGCAGGAAGAATAAGATTTCCAGGGAAGAGGGGATAGCCATTAGGTGCCAATTCATTACTCCAACCTGCCAACAGCAGCCAAAAATATAATAAAAAATAGTTTGAGGTGGACTGTCCCTTTTAACCATGTCTTCATATTTCCTGTATAACCCCCAGAGAAGCCTCTGTGCAGTCTACATAGTAACACTTCTTTCTTATCACGCATTCACGCACTGGTTATGATTCTGATGGCGTTTTGGGTTGACAATCTTCCTTTCTCCTTTTTTACAAACTCTGAAAGCACTGGGGATCTGGACTCTAACAGGGTTACCCTTCCGAGAGATGGGAAAATATCCAAAAGTGAACAGACGTTTCGGAAAAAGTTCAAGGTAAACCTTTTAGTTTTCGGCCTCCTGCAAATAGAGTTGGGGAATCTGATAGAATGTAACAAAACCTTTTGAACTTCCACTGCTGATTTACTCCAGGATTAAATTGGAACTGAAGTCAAAATCTTTCTTCATTTTGAATAAGGGAGGGCTAAAACCCTTGTCAGCTTTTTTTGCCATCTGTGTCCCATTGGGGGAGATTTCCCTTTATTTCCTGTCTGATGGCCGCAGTAGGAAGTGAGAAGAAATCCCTCCAAAGTAAGGCAAATCCCAGGTGGTCAGCAGGGTTTCCATTGGAAGATTTCCCCTCCTATTCCTGTTCTGGTGACAACCCAAAATTAGGGATTTTCCTTCCCTTTCAGTGATGGTGGTCACCAGGGCAAATAGAGAGGGTGAATCTCCCTAACGGGGGCACAGATGGCAACAAAAAATCGACGGGGGGTTCTAATCCCTCTCTACTCTCTCTATAACTAAAAAAAAGTATTGGCTTCAGTTGCACTTTAACCATGAAAGGGTCCCAAACGCAATTCCTGAGGGCCCATTTACACTTTCATGGCTCGTTGGGGTGTCCACTCCTAATGCACATATGTTAACATGCATTGCATCTAAGGCAGCAACTGTACAGTGAGTCGAGGTGCCATTGACAATGAATAGCCCTGCGTTATTGCGTTGCATGGGAGTAAATGGGCTCTAACGCTCACCAGAGATGATCTGGGGTGCAGGATGCAGAGAAAAGGAAATTCTGATTGGCTGCTTTGGGTAACTCCAGACATTCTTTGTATGTTCAGGTCACCGGCCTGGAGGACACCTTGTACACCACCACCATCGTCCAGGACTTTAAGCCTGAGAAGAACACGCTGCCGCTGAAGAGAGGGGACGTAGTTGATGTCATTCGGATCACCGATTGTCCCCCGGGGAAATGGCTGGTGAAAGACATCCAAGGAAACTGTGCGTCCTTGTAAACATAAATGTTCTTTCTTCAGTTTTGTGTCATGGAATATAATAATGACACAATCAGCTGACCTCCTTCCCTTCAGTCTTGCACAGTACCGGCACCTCTCCTGAACTGAAATTGCTTCCTCTGATTTCACTGCACACTGGGAACTTCTCACAATGTGCATTAGAAGCTGCAGCAAGTCAGATAGAGCTCCACCCATTTCCTGGCTGGAGGACGTCCAGTATCATCTAGGGCTGGTTTCTGGAGCATGGCTGTCTCTGGCCCCACCCCTTTTCATTCATTGCATTTTAGTTCTTTCAATCATGGAGGCTCAGCATCACATGTGGCTTTTACGTAGGGTGGTCTACTTGTGGGCTCCTGACCAGTGGCGTCACAAGGGGGGTGCGGCCCACACAAGGGTGACACCATTGGAGAGGTGACACCAAAATGACTGACAGTGTTTTTGGCGTCGCCCCCTCTGAAAAGTCGGGCACTCGGTCATGGACCTTATACCTTATCCCGCCGGGTGACTGTCTCCTCCTCTCCCTGGCCACGTCCATCACCAAGATGGCAGCCGGCAGGTATCAATAAGATCGCCGCAAGTGCACCATTATGTCCACAACGGGGTGTCGCCTGGTAACAGCTCCAGGTGACACCCGGCCTCAGGACGCCCCTGCTCCTGACCATCACACCTATGTAGGGTTATAGGACATCACATTCCACAACCATGGCCAGTTGTCCCCTTCGTGGCCATAACAGCCTCCACTCTTCTGGGAAGGCTTTCCATAAGATTTAGGAATGTGCCTGTGGGAATTTGTGCCCATTTGGTACTGATGTTGGATGAGAAGACCTGGCTCACATTCGGCGTTCCAATTCATCCCAATGGGTTGAGGTCAGTGTGCAGGACACTCGAGATCCTCCACACAAAACTGGCCAAACCATGTTTTTATGGAGCTGGCTCTGCACACAGAGGGCATGGTGGAACAGAAAAGGGCCTTCACAAATGCATGGAAGAGCACAATTGTCTAAAATGTCTTTGTTGTAGAATTAACAGGACCCTTCACTGGAGGCACCTGAATGCAATCATCTTCAGGAGCATCTACATACATTTGGTCATATAGAAAGGAGTGTTAAGCTGCCCACACACCTTACAATTATCTGCAGATTGTCTGTGGTCAGATGGAAAAGGTGCAACAGATTCCTCCATCTACACTGTGTGGATGGAGTAATCTCCACCTGGCCCAATCTGTTGCACTTTTTCCATCTGACCACCAAAAATCTGCAGATAAATTGTAAGGTGTGTGGGCACATTTAGAGTTGTTTGGCCATATAGTTTATACCTGTGGCTCTGTCTGGCTTCCCACCCAGCTCGCTGACGTCATTGGTTGCCAGGAAGCTGAGCGGGATGTTCTGGCTGGCGTCCACCTGAGCTCAAAGACGGAGAGCCGCTGACAGGGACAGCTCTAACACAGCCGCCTGTCCTACTGCATCAGTCACCATACCCCCCAAAGCACTATCACCGGCTCCAGGTGGCGTTTTAGGATAGTGGCATCTGACAGTCATTTTGGTGTCACACCCTCTGAAAAGTCGGGCACTCGGTCATAGATCGAGAGCCCGACAGTTGCGGGAGAGGAGGGGACCCAGCGGCATACCTTATCCCGCCAGTTGAACGTCCCCTCCTCTCTCTGCCATCGTCCATCACAGGACGCCCCTGTATGTATGTATGTATGTATGTATGTATGTATGTGTATGTGTGAAACTCGAATAATTAGAATATCGTGCAAAGTTCATTTATTTCACTAATGCTACTTAAAAGGTGAAACTAATATATGAGAGAGACTCATTACATATACATATATACAACAATATCGGACCTCTGAAAAGTACAAGCATGCATATGTACTCAGTACTTGGTTTGGGCCCCTTTTGCAGAACTTACTGCAATTACTTTTGCACGATATTCTAATTATTCGAGTTTCACCTGTACATACATACATACATATACACACACGTGTATATGTTTCTTTGTAAGTTACTGGTGATTTTTACCTTGCATTAAGTTTAAATAATTCATCTTAAAACTCTGACATCATAACCCTCGTTGTCTTCATGTCATTTCACAGATGGCTTCGTCCCGGTGTCTTGTGTGGATATTAGCAAAGATATATTGTCCTTTGGCAATCAACATTTACTGATCAACTCTGGCACATCTGATATCTACGCTGAGGTGGACCGGACCTGTGATAGGTAAATCGAGCCGGTGTTCCAAAGAGAAAATCGCTTTCCTCTGGCTTTCTGTGCAGCGTGTAGTGTAGTTTGCTGTTGAGAACTAAATGCTAATCTCTGTTATATTAAAATCAATCAAATGTCCGTTGCTTTTATTAATATGTCATTCTGTTTGGCTCTTCTAGTGGAGTGGGAACTGACCTGTCCGTCTCTGATAGCTGTAAGTTGAAGAACTTTTATATATAGTTGAAAAATATGTTATGTGTACTGCTTGCAGGATGTAATTATTCCAAATAGAATGAAGGCAGAACTCCAAGCAAACATCTAAACACACAAGTGAAATGTGTGCATTTTATCTGTCCTATACAATGTCTCCGTGGGCCTGTAGAATGGGAAATCGGGCTGCCCCCATAATGGAGCAGCCTAAGGCTTATTGGGGGGGCAGCAGGTGCGTATGGGGGGGGGGGCAGCAGCACCACCCACTAACAGCAGCCCCCCAGCCCGGCCTCCTTCCACCCTGCCCTGCCACCTCCCTCCAGGCTTTTACAGCTCAGCCGGCTGTCATTCACAGTTTCCCCCTTCTCCTGGCTAGGCGGCAAATAAGTTATGGGCGGTCTTGGTCCTACCTACCAGAGAATGTACTCGTAATTCTGATCAGCCAGCCTTGTGATATAGGCACCTCTGCCCGACCATCACGGCCAGGTTTTGCACGTCCTCGTATGTCTCTGCATACTAGACTACAGTTAAGCAATACGGTTTAGTCCAGGACCCGCCCCAGCCTGCTGATTGGACAATGAGGGTGAAGCAACACACTGATAAGGTCACCCCCCTGCTCTCCATTTTTATATTCATAGGCAGGCACTGTGCAATGTAATAGAAGCTGATTGGCTGAGATTACTGCCCCCCTCCCTTTCCTGTTCCCATCTCTGTTGTGTTTATGCCACTGACCGACTGTATCATATATGTTGTTTATTAAGCCCAGAGTTTCACTTTAGATCATCTGTTGGAATATTGATGTGTGTTATGTTTGCAAAATAGTTGATAAATTAAAGTAGAACTATGGGATTAAGTCTTTTCCCCATAGTTCTCCTCAGGGTAACGGGGGGACACAAACTAACATCCTCCCGTCACCCTAGGCTCAGTATACAGTAGGCTGTAGCTCGTGGTATACTGAGACGTCGCAGCTGAAGCGGATCCTGACAAATGTGCCGGGATCCGCCCAGCTGCATGACTGACAGCTGGCTCTGCCTATCTAGAAGCAGAGCCAGCCCCTCCCCTGTCACGGCAGTGACAGGATCGAGAGGTGAGTGAACGCCGGTATGTGTTCGCTCACCTCCCGATCTACTGAGCCGACCTGTGACAGTCTCATTGTCACAGGTCGGCTAGAACTATGAGGTGAGTGAAAAGCACCCCCCTCATAGTTCTCCTTTAAGAAAAATATCCTTTCACAGTGGAAGGATACAATGTCTCCGTGGGCCTGTAGAATGGGAAATCTGGCTAGTTGCATATAAATTAAGGAATATATTTTCTGGTAGAGAAACTTAACAATTCAGTTTTTCACGATATTTCGTGTAATAAACTTTGTTTGAAGTAACATTGTTCTGATTAACAGGAATAACTTTTGTTTTTTGTCCTCTTTTTATACTCCAATATTATTGTACGTCTCCGTCTTTCAGATTCCGTTAAATCTGATGACCTGTATGACGACATCGAGAGCAGCAAACGTTCAACACTCAGCAAGTAAATATGATACAAGTCTTATGTATATATACGGCACTGTGCAAAGGTTTTAGGCATGTGTGCTGTAATGGTCTAAAGTGAGACTGCTTTTCAGAAATAAAAGTGTTAATAGTTTATTTTATCAATTAACAAAATTAAAATCCAATCAATATTTGGGGTGACCCTTCCCCCCCCTTTGCCTTCCAATCAATATGTGGGGTGACCTCCCTTTACTTGCACACAGTTGTTAAAGGAGAACTATGAGGTGAGTGATTGTCACTCATCCTCATAGTTCGAGCCGACCTGTGACAATGAGACTGTCACAGGTCGGCTCAATAGATCGGGAAGTGAGGGAACGCATACCGTCGCTCGCTCACTTCTCGATCATGTCCCTGCATAGAGCGGTGACAGTCACTCACGGCTCCATCCAGGGATTCCCCGCTCCGATCCTCCAGCGCTGAGTGGACGAAAGGACGGGGGAGGGGGCGGGTACAGCTGGCTCTGCCTCTAGATAGGCAGAGCCAGCTGTCACTCACGCAGCTGGGTGGATCTCGACCATAATGTTTGGGATCCGTCTCGGCTTTTGAAAAATGGCCTGGATGGGAAGGGGGTTTAACACCGCGGATGTCAACTGGTTAAAGTAACTCGGCAGGTAGGTTGTACTCGGTGCATCTTGGAGAACTAAGCACAGATCTTCTGTGGATGTCGGCTGCCTCAAATCCTTCTGTCTCTTCGTGTAAGCCCAGACAGACTCCATGATGGTGAGATCAGGGCTCTGTGGGGGGCCAAACCATCACTTCGAGGACTCCTAGTACTTTATTACACTCAAGATAGTTCTCAATGGCATTGGCTGTATGTTTGGGGTCGTTGCCCTGCTGCAGCATAAATTTGGGGCCAATCACACGCCTCCTTGATGGTATGGCATGATGGATAAGTGTGCTTGAATTTCTCAGCTTTGAGGACTCCATTGGCAGAAATGCATCTCCAGACTTGCAAGGAACCTCCAGCATGCTTCACAGTTGGTGCAGGCACTCGTTATTGTACCGCTCTCCAGCCCTTCAGCGAACAAACTGCCTCCTGCTACAGCCAAATATTTTACATTTTGATTCGTCAGTCCAGAGCACCTGCTGCCATTTTTCTGTACCCCAGTTTCTATGGTTTTGTGCACAGTTAGGATGCTTGGCCTTGTTTCCACGTCGGGAGGTATGGCACTGAGGAAGGGGGCATGCCGTGGAAAGGCATCAGCCTAATCCTTCAGCAGCCAGCACCGATGATCCTTGTGACCGGCAGCTGTTATTAACTATATCAGGGATGGGATCTACCGTATGACTGCTATTGTAGCAGTTCTAGAGACTTCCATGCACATGAAGGTGTACTGAATTGTGCTCCTGTGAGTATATTAACTTGTGTTTATATTTAGTATTGAAAAAACGGCTCTACATATGGAGGTGGCGCTCCGTGTTCTTTTTTTTCACACCAGCCTAAAACTTCTGCACAGTATTGTGTGTGTGTGTGTGTATATACGCTGAGTGGCCAGATTATTATGACCACCCCATCAGTACTTCGCTGGGCCACCTTTTGCCTTCAGTACTGCGGCGATTCTTCTTGGCATTGACTCCACGAGATGGTGAAAGGTGATGCGAGGAATCTGACGCCATGCCTGATGAATAGCAGCGTCCAGTTCTGTGAGATTTGATGGTTGTGGAACCGGCTGCCTGATTGGCTCTTTCAACTTCGTCCCACAAATGCTGCAATTGGATTGAGATCTGGTGATTGTGGGGGCCACCTAAGCAAGGTAAAGTCTCCCTCATGTTCTTGAAACCGCTCCTGCACAATACGAGCACCGTGGCATGGCGCATTGTCTTGTTGGATGAAGCCATCTCCATTGGGATACGCCATCAACATGATCGGAGGAACTTGATCAGCAACGATACTTCTGGTATGTTGTGCTATTCAGATGTTGTTCCACAGGAAGGGCCCAAATCATGCCCCAAACCATAACACTGCCCCCACCAGCTTGAAGGGTTGTACTCATGCATGTGGGGTGCATGCTTTCATGCTGTTTCCACCAAATTCTCACTCTGCCATCTGCATGATACAACTGGAAACGTGATTCATCGGACCACAAGACTTCCTTCCAATGCTCGACTGTCCAATCCTTGCGTTCCTGTGCGAATTGGAGACGTGTTATCTTGTTAGCTGCAGACAGCAAAGGTGTTCGAACTTCCATATCCCATACGATGCAGTGTACGGCGAACAGTGCTTTCAGAGATCATTTGAGAGGATCCCTGATTTAAGATCTGCAGTCATTTCATGCACTGTTACCCTTCTGTTGTCTTGTACCAGTCTTGCCCCTCCCCCGTTCTGCCCTAACATTGACTAGTCGCTGACGGCCACAATTCGCACGTTCATACCCAGATTTGCGGCTGACAGTCCGGTCTTTAAACACTTTAACAATGAGCCCCTCTTAAACATTTAACGAATTCTGTTGTTTTGCTGATACTCGCTCCATGGCTCCGAGCGCCAACAATCATCCCACGTTCAAAGGCTGTTAAATCGCTTCCCTATTTATAATGGTCTGGCCCTCTAGCAACTTCAGCACCAAATTATAGCTAATTTGCCTACAAACGTCAGGTGGTCATAATAATCTGGCCAGTGTGTGTGTGTGTGTATATGTATGTATGCAGTGGTGTCACAAGGGGGGTGCGGCCCGCACCCGGGTGACACCATTGGAGGGGTGACACCAAAATTACTTAGTCATTTTGGTGTCACCCTCCTCTTGAAAAGTCGGGCGCTCGGTCATGGACAGAACGCCCTACAGTAGAGAGGAGGGGACCCGGCGGCATACCTTATACCGCCGGGTGACTGTCTCCTCCTCTCTCTGCCGGCAGGCATCTTGGTGACAGGTATCGGAATACGGCCGCGCGTGCGCGATGACGTCTCGGCGGGGTGACACTGACACCGCTCCGGGTGTCACCCAGCCTCGGGACGCCACTGTATGTATGTATATGTGTTTATA